AACCACCACCCCACCCACACTCTCCTTTGGCTTTTCTGTTGATCGGCACTTCTATTTCATCTGTCTAAGAAAAAGTGTCCAAGCTGGGATTTTTTGTCTTATCATTTATAGATGCGTACTGTAGGACATATTGCTAGTGGCCCCTGTTTTGGGGTACAGCTACCGTGCACAGTTTTATTTGTTTGTTGTTCAATTTACTTCCCAAAATTTGGGATGACAACTCTCTCTCTCTTACAAGTACAATAGTCATGCTGTTTATCTACTTATTGCAGGGAAAAGCTGGATCAAGTCGATGATTCTGACCGCTTCACTCTTTCCATTTTTGTGCTTTGGAATTGGTTTCATTCTGAACACAATTGCCATATTTTATGGTTCTCTAGCAGCCATTCCTTTTGGCACAATGGTAGTTGTCTTCGTTATCTGGGCATTCATTTCCTTCCCCCTGGCTCTTCTGGGTACAGTCGTTGGAAGAAACTGGAGTGGTGCTCCAAACAATCCATGCCGTGTCAAGACCATTCCTCGCCCTATACCTGTGAAAAAGTGGTACTTGACACCATCTGTAATCTCCTTGATGGGGGGTTTGCTACCATTTGGCAGCATATTTATTGAGATGTATTTCGTCTTCACATCCTTCTGGAATTACAAGGTAAACTGTAACTCGATTTAAGTCTCGTGTATCGCTCATCGGTTACTAAGTTAGTTTGAATAAAAAATGATGGCTGAACTTCCACGGACTCAGGGAGAAACAATTCGAATTCAGTCCTTCATAGCTTCGATCTTTCTGCATATAAATATGAGCATGAAATGAACTCAACGGTTTCAGGGTGCTGACCCAGTGGGTCCACCTCGTGCCCTTTTTCTGGAGATAAGTTAAGAGGTGTTATGTAAAATTTCAATGAACTCCTTTGAATAAAACATTTATCTTTTGCTTAACATGCATTGCTTGCATGGCAGTCTTACTTTTTGTATAATTTTTTAAATTGATCTGGGACTCATGAAAGAACCCCCTTTGTTAGGTAGTGACATATTGAAGTCTTGAATTGATTGCTAATATACCGTGTCATGGTTTTTGCAGGTGTACTATGTTTACGGGTTTATGCTTTTGGTATTCCTGATTCTCATTGTTGTTACTGTCTGTGTGACCATTGTGGGCACATATTTCCTGTTAAATGCTGAGAATTATCATTGGCAATGGACTTCATTTTTCTCAGCCGCCTCTACAGCTGTCTATGTCTACCTATACTCGGTATATTACTACTACGTGAAGACTAAGATGTCAGGGTTCTTTCAGACTAGTTTCTACTTTGGATACACACTGATGTTTTGTCTCGGCTTAGGAATTCTCTGCGGTAAGTCACATTGAATCTCTTGCTTTGGAGTTCCAATGNTCTGTACTCAGTATATTACTACTATGTGAAGACTAAGATGTCAGGGTTCTTCCAGACCAGTTTCTACTTTGGATACACGCTGATGTTTTGTCTCGGCTTAGGAATTCTCTGCGGTGAGTACAAATACCAGTTAGACCATTCTTGCCACATTGAATCTATTGCTCGTTTGGAGTTCCAATGTTATCTGCTTCATTTATTCTAATCCACCATATCTGTTTGTCATTTAAACATAGGTGCTGTTGGATTTTTGGGCTCACATCTGTTTGTGAGGAGGATCTATAGAAACATCAAATGCGACTGACACTGCTCCTCCATTTGCTTAGTTTCTGGTACTAAGGTCGAGAAAAACCTCAAGAACCATGTATCTTTGTGGGATTCGATTCGGTTTAATGATGGTAGGTACCTCCTCTGCTTGTATTCTGGGGGAGCCCTGAAAATTTTCCCCATTCCTTGGGCTGTAAAAGTAATCTCCTATTTTCATTTGTACTTAAATTAGAATGAAGAGACTTCAAATGATTCAAGGCTAGCATTGTAAGAGTTTCAGCTGTCACGTAGTTATTGTATCTCCATTGCTATACGACTCGGATGCACTCAAATCACTGCTATTTAATTTTTTGTTGATTCTCGTGCAGTTACGAAATGAGATCCAGGTCAGTTTTTGCCTTGGTGAACAATTTAACGAAAACCGCTTGGATATATACATTGCATTATCTAAAGTGTCACACCTCCTTTTTTTCCTATGGGAGTTTTTTCAATTAAAGTGACATTAATCGAAATAGGATTATTTATTCAATTTCAGAGTCGTCACTTGGAATAATTTATATGGTGTCCCAAGTCACCGGTTTATTTTAAATTTCAAATTGACTATGTTTAAAGTCTGCGAAACACAGAAGACCGGGTAAGAAATTCTGTTAACCCGGGAAAAGGTGTGGGGCACTCCCAAGTTTCGTGGTTTTAGCACGGTCGCTTTAATCATATACTTGGCTTAATTAAATTGTTTAATTACGTATTTTAGAACCTATGTGTGTTTACCTTTTGCCGCTTTTAATTATGGCGTTTATGGATTTAATCTTTGAAATAGACTACATGTGTGTGAGTCCGCTTTGTTTGGGGCACTAAAATCATGTCACGCGAACGCGTACACAATTAATTGTGCTTTATTAATTTAAGATTGTTTGGCCGAAGTTGCACGAACGCATACCTCGATTTAATTTTGGATATCGGGATCACGTCACGTGGACATGTACGCAATCACGATAGTAGTTTAAAATTCGCACCTAAAGCATTTCTACGAGTGTTTAATTAAGGCGTTTTATTTATTAAGATTGTTTGACCATGGTCACGCGAACATGTACCTTGGTTTGTTTTTGGCATCACAACTATGTCACGCGTGCGTGTACATAATTGTAAGGCGTGTACATAATTGTAATAATTAAGTTGATTATAAATACCTTAAGTTATGCTTATGTCTCTAAACTAAATACTCGATGTCATATGGCTAAGTATAAAGGTTCAATATTAGGTGATATGTTTGTTTGTATTAGATGGGGGCAGCCTATGTATTATCTGTCAAGCAGGCCCAGATTTAAAGTTTGAGGCCTGATGAGGACGGAGTCCAAATGAACTCTAGCCCAAGACATATATTATTCGTTATTGGGCCTAGCTAATGAATTCAGTTCAAAAGAATTTGGGCCTGCTTGAGTCTAATTGACTCTGGCCCAATGCATATTTTAAGGCAGCTAAATGAATTCAGTCCAAATGATTTGGGCCTAGTGATGATGGAGTCCAAACGACTCTGGCCCAACACAATGTTATTAAGCATTCAATCAATTAAAAACATTTAATGCAAGAAGGTTTGGGCCTAATAATGAGTCTGGATGACTCTGGCCCAATATCCATTTGTGGACAAATAACTCAAAAAATAATTTGGGCCTGATAATAATGAATCCAAGTGACTGGCCCAGTGTATATTTGTGGAATGATTTTGAAATTAAAATTTGTAACAACAATTATCAAATTTTACCTATACTTTGTTTATCTTAAAAAAAGAAGTTAACAGGGGTCTTGGGATACGAACAAAATAAATCAAAATTTTGGTTAATTTTTGGATAATTTTCTACTGATTGCCTAAGCCTCTTAGTAACTTATGTTAAAGTGCTAAGTTTAAGACTCATTGTGT